TACTAATGCAGCTCCAGAATCAAACCGCACTGACCCCAAACCAGTCCCTAGGCCCCACCCTGCCCCCTCATTGGTCAAGCCCCCCCTGCGGCCCAGAAGGAGTCAGCTCCGATGTAATCACTGCATCACGCTTCAAAGCCACCGAGCCAGCTCCTAATAGGGGGCAGCAGGTTTCACTTACCTTGCCTGGCGGCCTGCCCAGGGCAGATGGGATGCAGCTGGGGGAGGCCCAGCCCCTCCACTTCCCCTCCCCCCCTCAGAAATTGTTGTCTCCTAGCTCATCTCCCTTCTCCCTTTCTCTGGTTGGACATTGGAACTGGTGGTAGGGGAGGTGATTCCCCCAAAGCAGGAAAAGTGAGCACTGGCTAAGAGAGCTTAGAAATGCCACCTTCGATCAAAAGGCAGAGATCGTTCCCTGGCTTGTCTCTGCCCATCTCATCCTACCTAGGCCCCCCAAGCGCAGATTCTGTGATGCACGTCAGGAGGGACACCTGAGTGGTAGCATCGAAGGGCAGAGTGCAGCCCCTCTGTCTCCCCAACTCATTGGGATGAAGGCTGGAGGGGCTGGAGTGGAGGAGTGACCAGGACATGGGGGTTAACGCCAAGAAGTGTAACCATGGCCAGTTATGGTACCACTGCTTCCTTCTAGGGGTCCTTGGGCAAGTGGCTTAACCTCTTCAAGCCTCAGTCTTTTCATCTGTAAAATGGTGATCCCAGAACCTTCTTCACAGAATTGGGGATTAAAGGAGATAATTGTGCGCATCTCTGGCTCAGAAGTGGGTTGGGGCTGCAGGCTGGTTCCCTAGGGGTGGACACAGGGAGCTGTGAGCAGTGCTCTGCAGAGGGCCTGAAGTGAGGGGTCCCAATGGAATGGGAGAACAGGGAGTGTGTGTTAGGAGCTTGCCTTCCTGGAGGGTCAGGGTGACAGAGGGGTGGGGAGATGAACAGGGGAGGGGCAAACCCATTTCAACTCCGGACAATGCAACGTGACTCACCACTCCCACTCCCAGCTCCACGTAGAGCTGCAATGATTTTCTCCACCCTTTCACCTTAGGGTCCCTATTAGGTCCAGGAAGCCTTGAGGTATGTGTGGTGGGGGGAGGGACCCTCGATATGTGCAGCTCTGTTATAGGAGATGGTTCTGGGGGACCCTCGAGGAAAATGGCTGCCTCCTTGACAACTGCCTGTCTGCTCCCACTTGCTGGTCAGCTCCTGAGCCACTTCCATGCCCATCCTACAGCGGTAGCTGCAAGTGCTGAGGGTTAGGGGAACGGGGGCTGGGTCAGGGAGAAGTTGGTGCAGGACACTCATGTTTGAGGCCAGGAGTCACAACCCTTAGGGAATTAGGATCAGGCAGTGGCTCCATAGGGCCTCTGATATTGTTCCAAGGAAAAGGGTGGACCCAAGTCCAGCACAGATTAGGAGCAGAGATCCCTGCTGCTTGTCATGGTGCAGACGAGGGAAGGCGGGTGGTGGTGGCTGTGACCCTGCAGTTGTGGAGATGATGGGGATGGTGGTGACAGTGGTGTGGCAGTCATGGTAGTGATGGAGAGGATTGTGGCAGTGAGAGTGATGGCAGTGGTAGCTGTGGTGGTTCTGCTACTGATGCTGGTGTATGATGCTGGTGGTCATAGTGGCGCTGGTTTTGGTGTAGGTGGCTGCAATGGTGACAGTGGTGTTGATTGTGGTCATGGTGGTGGTCCCAGCAAAGGAACATCCTGATCACAGCTGTGCTATCTCAGTATGGTCAAGCCAAGGTGTCACATGAGAAGATAGTCCTTCACACCAAATACCTAACACACTAGAATATCAGCTCCTTGAGGGCAGCTGCTGTCGTTCACTGCTGTATCCCCAGTGCCTAGAGCAGTGCGTGGCACATAGTACATGCTCAATAAATATGTGTTGAATGAGTAAAAGGGGATGGAGTCTCTCTCTGTGATGAACACTGTCACCTCATTTGTTATTCACTATGCCTTTTTAAGATAGGATCTTTTTTAAAATTCCCATTTTATAGATGAAGAAACTGAGGCAGAGATCCTTAACTTGACTAAGACCACACAGGAATAAGCCATGTGGGGGCGGGCTGGGCTGTGTAGGCTTTTATAGCCAGATCTTCTGACTCGCAGCTCAGTGTTCTTTCCTCTATGGACTTCGCAGATCAACTCTCCAGCCAGCACTCAGCATTTCACCACGGTCTTGTGTGTGAGCTTAACCATAGAAATACCGCTAATAATAGTAACAATTGCTGTTTGTAATTGCTCGAGTAAGGCTTAAATGCTCAAGACCATGGAAATTATTAATAACCCAGGCCCAGCCATGGTAGTGTGGGTCATATTAAATTGTGTTGAGATGGATGACCTTGGCAATAATAGCAACTGGGATCATAAATTAATAACAGGAGTATTTAAATTAATGCCACACTGTGGATACCCTTGGTAGTAAGCAGCTCAGTGCTGCTGTTAGTACTAATGTTGCCCCTTCCTGCCTTCCATGAATTCAGCTGAAAGGAAAGGCAGGGCCGTAAAAGCAGTGGGAGAAGGCAACAGCTCAGAGGCAGGTCCCTGTCCCAGAGGAGGGAATCCTCTGGGCTAGCTGCCTGGCCTCTTATGCCCAGCCATCAAGGTGGTGGCTCATCCACATTCATGCACAATGATGTCTACCTGTCCTTTCTGGGGCTGTCCCCTGGACTTTGTTGGTTGCACAGGAAAGAAATTCACAGGGCAAAAATTTCCCCCCATGAATGAATGAATTAGTTCCAGCTGATCTGGACAATCACCTACCAACTGCCAGCATGAGTGCACTGATCTCTCCTTCCTGTAATGTGGGAGATTAGTACTATTGTTTCCAAAGTAAAAACTGAGGTCCACAGATGGCCAGGGTGCTGGGATGGACTTTGTAGACACGTCTCCCACAGCTCTGCACTCCAGGGTCTTCATATCTGGGGTCCAGGGAAGGTGGGGACAGGCAAGGGTGAGCATCGAGGTGGTGGTGGGGTGCTTCCCAAGAAAGGACTGCTGGCACACTCCCTGGGTAGCTGGGCCTATGATTTAGACCTGTCAAGGTTTCTGGGACATGGTGAGTGTGGGATGATTACATAGCACATGGATGAGTGCTTGGATGTGAGTTTATCCAACAGCTTTTCCATTTATTCCCTTCTACAGACCTTTATTGAACACTTACTATGTACCAGGCATTCAGATAAGAAACCATAGTCACTGCCTGCAGGGAGCTCATAAGCTAATGGATACACACAGTCTAGTAAAAGTACATTGTTAAGGATACATCTGTGTGTTTGTGTACGGGTGTAAGTATGTGTGTCTTCATGAATGGGTGTGTGCACTTGTGCAAGAGACTATGCACGTGGGGCTTGTGTGGAGGTGACTGTACATGTACACGTGCATGTGTGACTGTATACGTGAGTATGCATGTTTGTTACGACCACATGTGCAATGAGGGCGTGTGTGCTTGAGTGTGGAGGTGCACATGCATATGTAGAACGTGCAGGTCTATATGAGTGCATGAGGATGGTGTGGGGCATGTGGTACATAAGTACATATATGTGAGCTTGAGAGTGTGTGTCTTCCTGTGTTTTGTGTGCACACTTGTGATTCCTTCAAACCTATTATTTGAGAATTCAAATGATGTCAGGATGGACTCCACCTTGAGTGTCCCCAGGGTGAGGCCACCTGCTCCCCCTCCCTGCCCTCCCCCTAGGCCTGTGCACTGGGAAGGGGCAGAGAGGTAGGGGTAGGGTAGGGACCAGAAGATGAAGGGCGGGCAGCTTGCTGATAAAGGCTGGGCAGGGAGCAGCGCACCAGGGAAGAAGCTGAAGCGAGAGGCTGGGGATGGATGGCAGCGGAAGATGGGTTGGAGAGTGAATCCTGCGAGTGGGTGCAGCCGGAGGGGAATGGGAGTCTCCCTGGTCAGGGCCTACAGCACCCGGGACGGATGCGCCCTAGCGCGGGCCGGGTGCTCTGGGTACCGGGGCGAAGTCGGGGAGAGGCTCCGAAGGCCAGGGCGCGGAGGAGCAGCAGCAGGACGCGCAGCCACAGCTACCCGCACACCCTCCCTTCCGCGCCTCTCTCCTGCT